TTGAAATTACACCAAACCATACTTTAATTATTCAACATTCTAAAATCAGATTGGAAGTTTGACATTTCAAAAATAAGATGAAAAATTATTTTTTAAATATTAATAATATTATCATAAAATTAAATTAATTTACCAACATTGAACACAAAATATACTCTTCATCTCATTTTTCTCTCGAGTTCACATAACAATCATTCCATATGATTGATGATTATTATACAATCGTTTCACAAATGCATCGTCGGATTCCAAACGTTATCGTCTCGCGTCGTTGGGCCACCCCCACGGCCCCATTTCCTGATCGTTTCAGACCATTAGTTTGTCTTAGCATGTTGGACTCAACCTACATCTGCACAAGTGGAGCCGGCTTCTGTTGTTCGCGTGATCTTAACTGAAAGTGAGGTCAATAGTATTTATATTTATATCATGAACAGGAATTAAAGGGCATAACCTAACTATTGAGGTCAAGGCTCCCATGAATGAGTCTATTTCTTGTTTCAATTTTGTTAAGGGAAATGTGATCGTATCAAGTGATATCAAAATAGGGAAACATCCTAACAATAGAGCGATGGCTAGGGCGAATGGAGAAAATGGTAGTCTTTGGCTATTGAGCAAAAGGAAATGAGATGTTGGAGGCAAATTTTGGACTGTTTGCAAGTTGATTATGGAAGTTCTATGGCTCCATTGCATAATCAGACCTTGTCAAAGTAGTGTTATCGTAATTTCGATGAATGCTTAATGGCTTACCAGACAAAACTGCAATATGGAACAAAATTATTGCAATGCAGATTTTCAGCCATTGCAATACAAGGTTGCCCTAATTACGAAGGTTTGGAAGGAAGATAAATTATGCTGAGCATAATACTCTGAATAATCCTATCTATAGTGAGTTTTTATTCCACATTCATAGTTCAAATCTCATCTAACATCTCCGGAAGAAAGATAATCCATTGATCAATGACGCGTTACAAAGGAACAGTTGCTTTAAAGACAACTTTGTAGGAGAAACAACATATTCTGTTAGATTATATCATGTAGGGAAAATCGTAATATTGCCTAAATATCAAGTTGGACACCAATCTTTCAGAAAAGTTGCATACTCAATCCCAACTGATGGAAATCATTCAAATTTCCGTCAAATTGTCACGTGAGCCTTGCTTATCCAACCATATGAAGTTACATAATGCTTTCCCATTTGAGCTTATGTCTAAAATTTTGAAGTGAGGCATGCTCTGTTGAGTCTAAACCCAAAATAAAATGATTTTTTATTGATATAAATCAATTGCACAATTTTATACAAACAAATACCACTAACACGGTAGCATCAGACTTCTATCTAAAATTTTATATTGGAAGCACCTTATTATTAATTCACTACACTCAACTATGCACTCAATTCTCTCTCACGTATATATACGCTGCTTCTCTCTGTTCTCACTTTCTCTGTCTCTCTCCCT